CCCCTCCTCCAGCTCACCGCTGCCAGCTTTGCCCAGTCTGTGTGAACATGGGGCCGACGAGGCCTTCGGCCTTCTGGCTCCGGGCCCTTCTGATCCTGGAGGAGCGGAGGTGGAGAAACGGGGCCCGACCTCCTCAGCCGGTGAATAATTAACGGAGGGGAGTGTGGAGGCAGCTGTGGAGGGCGTTTGGCTCGTCTCCTCTGGGTTCTCCTCCACCACCACCTCCTCCTCCTCTTCCTCCAACAACGCTCCAAAAACTGGAGACACTTAGACCTTTTGTTGTTTTGTTTTAGTTGTGTTTTATACTTTTGCCAACTTAAATCAGTTTGCCATTTGAAACCTCAGACTAAAGATCAACTAGTCGTTGCATCATTTGTCGACTATTGGCTTTAACTGACGGCAACAAACTGGCTCCTCTTTTCTTCTTTTAATGCCTCTCCTGTTGCTGCTGAACCCGCGGAGTGTCTTCGTGCATTCCCAGAGTCCTAGTCCTGAGAGAGTCTTGAAGACTGTGAACCCGGCTCCGGTAGCCCACTCGCTCGCTAGTTTTAGTCCACTTTTCTGATTGTGGCTAGATTCTCAAATGATGCTTGTAACCGGGACATTCACAAGGATTTCAGTTTTTTTAGGCATCTTTTTCAAATTAAATGTCCTGTAGGAATGGTTAAGTGGGTTTGAACAATATAGTCATTCAAATGCCATTAAATAATAATCTGTATTCTACAAACAGAACAGTAACAAAGCCACGATCCTCCATGTAAAAAAAAAAATCAATTTTACTTTTCACTGAAGTATCCATTAGAGGGAGGGCTGCAGGGAATTATCTTCAAACCCAGGCAACATCTCCCTGTTGGATACGACTTCTTTATACTAAACATCTAAACTATATACTTCCTAAAGCCTTTTGCCATAAACCGCTTTCTGCAGAAATGCTGAAGAGCGTTTGAGTTGAAATGCTAATACCAGTGCAACACTGACATTTAGACAAAGTGATGAAACAAATTTGACTGTTTGTGACACGTTGATGTCTGTCATTTTATCTGGTTGAAAAGAGGACGTTTGGAAAGTTTTCAACAGAGGCTGGCAAGAGTACACATTTTTTTTGTCAAACAGAAGTTAAAAAAAGGAGACTCTGCTAAAAGTAGAAGTCCTGATTCTTACTCGTGTAAAAGTGAAAACTCACCACATTCGGTATCTCTGAAGGACTTCTACAGCTGTTTCTGTGTAAGCTAACTGAAACTTCACAGATCAAGTTCTCTCGTCTGATTACGTCGTCACGTAATATACGCATCCTCTGGATTTGGGAAGATAAGTTCAACGATGCAAAATCCATTCATACCGACAGTTTTTATGGGAATTGGTTCCCGGCTAAATGACCAATGATTTTCAGTCAGCGAAAGATTGCACATTATTATTCATACCAATTAATAAAAAATCAAAGCCAACCTGTTTCAGCTGAAGAAAAAGGGTGTCTGCCTCCCGAACCAACATACATTATACCTCCGTCTCTCTCTGTCCTCATTATATTCTAATAATAAAGTCTGAAAATGTCCAAAAAGACTAAATAAGGAAAAAAGAAATGCCAACAAGTTCATATAATTTATAATAATTCTAAAGTTATTATTGTGTGGGGACATAAAGGGAATCTTATCAAAATGTAATGTTTTTAAATGATTTATCATTATTTATTATATAATTATTATATAATTCAATGTTTCACAATAAGTGCATTTAAAAAAAAACTTGACAGACACAAAAATTGAAGTTACCTTTAAAACTGGAGTGACGCTGAAGTTTATTCTGCCTTTTGATCCATTTAGACTTGTTTTCTGTCACAACTTCAGAATTTGATTTGTGGTGATAAAGGTTCCTTTTGATTGGACGCTGCTACAGTTTACACTTATTTCACATCCTTATATTAGTAGTGTGATATTACCTCCTCATTGTGAGGCTTTACACACTTAAAGGTGCAGAATGCGACTTTTGGACTAGATGTCGCACTAAAGCAGCGCACCAAACTCCATTAACAAAAACACTAATTTTACCTCCAAGTTCATAAAGTTAGTTTGTTAGTTTGTTAGCTGTAATATTGCTATCGCTCACCACCAGACTCCATAGACAAAAACACAAATGTTACCTCGTATATCATCGTAATTCATTTAGAGTGAACAGAAGTAACATAAAACTGATCTCTAATGACTAAATGAACTACATTTATTCTGTCTTCACAGTTTTGTCGTCACCAACGGCGACTCGTCCCGCAGCGGCACCCTCCACTTCACCATCGAGCATGGCGACCGCATCCCGCCAACCCTCCACCACAACGTGGGCCTGCAGCTGCCTGACGGCTCCACGGCGACCATCACCGCCGAGCAGCTGCAGGTCACCGACCCCGACACCGCCGTCGCCAACCTGAGCTTCGTCATCACGCAGCCGCCACGCTACGGCAAACTGCTGCTGAGGGGAGTCCCACTGTCGCCGCCACTGAGCTTCACCCAGACGGACGTGGACGAGCTGAACCTGGCTTACCGTCACGACCTGGGCAGCCCGGCGGAGATCGACAGGTTCTACTTCCTGCCGACTGACGGCACCAACAGAGGTTACCTGGAGTTTGGACAGCTGAGGGAGGAGCCTGCTGTCTTTAACATACAGGTGAGCAGCTCACACTTCGTACAGTCGTACAGCTGGAACTTACAGCTGCTGTTAACCTGCGACCACCAATACGCATCGTGATCAGACCACTCAGACCACTTACTGAGGTGGTCTGGGACGCATTAGACCACATATCTTAACGCTAATGCATCCTGGTCCACATTGAAGGAGCACCTACTCAACTGACGTCCTGTAGGTGCACAGAAACACGGCGTCTGATTGGTCGTAAATCTCTCAATTATAAAGGTTCTTTGTGAGAACGTTATCTACAAGAAATTCTTCATTCTTCTTCATTATTTGGGCTGTCTTGTAAATTCGGCAATACATTAAGTTATTTATTTCTTTGTGTCAAAAACATTGTGTTCGTTGTCCCAGCGTGTTGGCTGATAGTCACCGTTGTTTCTGCTTGAAAAGATCCCAAATGTTTCACTTTCTGTTTCTCCTCTTCGACACTCACTATTTCGTCTCTCAACAGTGCGTGTGATTTACACTGTATATAGTTATATAGATTAA